TTCCGAATCAATGGCCGAAATTATCGGACGAGCTTTTTAGAATTATCGGACGGTGATCGCGAAATTCACGGCTTGTTGTTAATCTACCGCTAATTAGAAATACAATAAATCGGTCGGTTTGATTTATTCTACCGTGTCCTGGTCAAATTTAACGGGAGTAAATATACACTTTATTACTAATTTTAGTTTGAATGATCATAGATACAGCACAATACCCCACATATTTTCGATTGGATGTAGATCCGGTGAGTTTCCTGGTCGTTCAAGGAGTTAAATCGTTTTTTGTCATTGAAATAACCTTCGCCACTAGACATATGTTCGATTTTTCTTATACAACACTAAATATTTAATTTCAAACACACACACACACACACACACACACACACACACACACACACACACACACACACACACACACACACACACGCACGCACACACGCACGCACACACGCACACACGCACGCACACACGCACGCACACACGCACGCACACACACACGCACACACACGCACACACACGCACACACACACACACACACACACACACACACACACACACACACACACACACACACACACACACTGAGCTACGTTTTCTTCCATAAATAAAAATCACTGTAATCTCTCGCATGCACTTGTGACCGTACGCATTGAAATACTAAATCAGACTAGTTCTAACAAGAGGCTACCCAGCTAAAGTCTATAACGAAATGTAAATACGCTTCCATTGGCTGAACCAAAGTCTCTTTGCCAATAAATATTTATTTGATTTAAACAAATGCATGATTCATTTTCAATCATATTTTAAAGTCTTCACAAAAACAAATTAGAGACATCAGCTTCCAAAACAACTTTATGATTACGATTGCTAAGATAATTTGATATTAAACAAAAACCAAAACATTTCAGTGTTTGCAAAGAGTTTGGTGATCTTAAAGTACCAAATGCTTTGCTATAATCGAGAAGAATCAAGCATTCATAGAACGTTTTCAATTTCAAATCAAATTAAAAAAAGTAAAATACGTTCCGCCCCATAAAAAAAATCTCATGTCATCAACAAAACTCCTATTAAAAAAGCTTCCGCCTATTTATTTCTCAATGCGTATAATAAAAGAACCCCAAATTGAAACTGACGTACTCTCGTGAGGTACTCCATAGGTACGTTTCACCTGAAATGAAGAAATACCGAAATCAGATTACAATGTATTGACACATAAGGGTGCAGAAAAGCTCTACGACAATAAATATTTGTGGAAAAATGTACAGGTGGGTTGAAAACGGCATTGTATTGGGATATCTATAGCTGGGTAATGACATTTCTTGGGTCCCTTTGTTGTTTCTCACGGTTGATATATGAACGGGGCCAATTCAGTGAGATTTCTCTGAATTGGTACACAATGTGGGTAGAATCGAGGGGTGATTTTCGTTGTTGAGAACGGAATACCCTATACATTTTTGCGACTTAGACGTGAAAGACTAAAATTAGTAATTAATTTTCTTAGAATTTCAAAACAAAGCATGTCCGCCAAATACAGATTTTATTTAAAACGAAGTTGATATTCTTTTGTCCACGTTTTTGACAAATAAAAATTTTCATTTGCCAACCCTTAAAAAAAAAGAATTTGACAAAATTGCAATAGATTGTCCACGTTTGTCCAATGAAACGATTTGTTTGTCTACCCTCCAAAACCGAGTTATTTCAAAAAATTTAAAATAATGAGCATGATCTTTAGGGACAACATTAATACATTTCATTCGAATTAAATACGGTAATCGTTTGCCCACTCCATTATTTATATTTGTCCAAGCCTTATTTTCGTTTGTTCGCCCAAAAGAAATTAATTAACAAAATAGTTTATTAAAACTAACTATTAATATCGTTTGTACACATATCATTTTCGTTTGTCCAGGTCTTATTTTCTTTTGTCTACAAATGATTTAGTGTAACGAATTACAATTAGAAAAAATTACATTATATTTGTTTATATTTTCAGTAATTTATTAACTAATTTCTGTTGGGTGGACAAACGAAAATAAAGCCTGGACAAACAATTGTAGTGGTTAGTTTTAATAAATTGCTATTAGAAGAACTTACATTATGATTGTTCATATTTTGAGTTTTTTAATAACTAATTTCTGTGAAAATAAGTCCTGGACAAACGATGCAGTAGTTAGTTCAATAAATTGTTATTAGAAATACTTATTTATAATAATTGTTCATAATTTGAGTTCTTAATTTGAAAATAACTAATTTCTGTTGGGTGGACAAATGAAAATATAGTCTTGGATAAACGAAAATAATGTGTGAACGAACGATTGCAGTAGTTAGTTTTAATAAATTACTATTTGAAGAACTTACATTAATAATTGTTCATAGTTTGAGTTCTTTATTTGCTAATAACTAATTTATGTTGGGTGGACAAACGAAAATAAAGTTCAGACAAACGAAATAATGTGTGGACAAACGACTACAATGTTTAGTTTTAGTAAATTGCTATTAGAAGAACTTACATTAATAATTGTTCATATTTTGAGTTCTTTATTTGTTAATAACTAATATCTGTTGGGTGGACAAACGAAAATAATGTATGGACAAACGATTGCAGTAGTTAGTTTTAATAAATTACAATTAGAAATACTTATATTAATTATTGATTATATTTTGAGTTCTTTATTGGTTATTACTTAATTTCCTTTGGGTGGACAAACAAAAATAAAGCCTGGACAAACGAAAATAATGGTGTGGACAAACAACTGCAGTAGTTATTTTAAATAAATTTCAATTAGAAAATCTTACATTAATAATTGTTCATATTTCTAGTTCTTAATTGGTTAATAAGTAATTTCCGTTGGGTGGACAAACGAAAATAAGGCTTGAACTTGAACAAACCATAATAATGAGTGACAAACGATTGCAGTATTTAATTCGAATGAACTGTATATTTCCTAAGAATCTTGCACATTATTTTATTTTTTAAATATCTCCATTTTGGGAAGTGAACAAACAATCGCATTTAGCTTCACGAACCCAAACTTTGTAAGGATTTTGAAATGCCGATTGGATAAAATCAGGAGTCCGCTACTGCTATCAGCGATCAGATTGCTGATCTCTATCAGGTACTATATCGTCACTTGTAAATATTAAAACGTTATTAATTATTAGTTACATGTGCAGAGTTGCAAGAAAATTTGTCTTATGAATAAACATACGGGGAGCGGTCATTAATTTTTTTTGTAACCATATAGCCTGAGATGAGATTGAATGTTTAGATCGATATCGAAAAAAATATAGATACAGGAGCTCGTTTATGTTATGTTTATAATAAATTATTGCAAATTAACGGTTATTACCGATATTATAAGCAAGTACAGTTTTTTTATTTAAATTTTTTTTTTGAAGTACTTGATTTTAAT